CTACTTTGCCTCCCACCAAGCTCAGCATTTTGCATTTTGTACTGTGTTACGAAGGCTTTGGAATAGGAAATATTTCTTACTATGTGTTTGTGTACTGCATTGTACAACGGGCCCCAGTCCTGTTTGGATCCTCTCTGGAGACTTCCTGTGTTAGGGTCCAAAAGCACATTACTCATAAGGAATTTGCAACGCAAATTTGACAGCGCTTTACTAGTGGCACAAAGTATAAGAACAGAAAATTGTTCAATAGTCCAAACTATAATTCAGTCATTTTGTACTGAAAACCAAAATATTTTAAACATATATTTTGAAAGATAGCTTATGCGTAGTTGCAGTCTGTAGGCCAGCAGAAGTACTGATTTGGGGAAGACAAGGTAGATCCATGGCTGTATACTGAATCAGTCTGATTTATGAAGGTGTTTTAGAATGCCTGCTAAAAATACTCCAATAAAACACCACAATAATTAGAGCAACACAATAGTATTAATCACATAATGAAATACGAAGTGTCATGTATTTTTATTTTGCAGAATTAATTTAAACCTGGAAATTAAGCAGAGAAAGCTACAAATAAATTCCTAGATTCCTTGCAATGAAAAGGTATAATTTTTAAAAACTCATTAGGAAAGTTCCTAGAAATCAAATTTAATGTGCTATATTGTAATTCTAATAATGTATTATAATAAACCCCTTATACTGATAATTTGCAATTACATTAAGTGGCACCCGTTGTCTTTGAAACAACGTATTCAGTTAAAATCATCCTTTAGGATAGCTTTGTTGGGTTCAGTGGATTCACACAAGGAATTAATTTCAATGGGCAATATTTTTGTATGGATCAGAGCTTGTGCAAGCTATGATTCTATGAAAATTTTCGTATTAATTGTATCAACCTGCCGTAAGTAGCGCATTTAGATTTTGCCTCAAGTTTCACAAGTACGTTAAGTTCTCAGGAGAACCCAACACACCTCTGGATTAATGCTCAACTGAATTATGAATGTATAAGAAAATATGGAGTTGACTGACATGCACTATGAAGAAGAGAAGATTGTGTTTTGGGACTTCAGGGGGATGGAAATCCCTGCTATTCTACGTGTTCTTTTAAAAAATCTGGGATTCATCAATGCAAGTAACAATATGGTTTTGTTGTTAATGATCTTCCCTCTTATTTATGACTGTTATTTTCTGTTAAAATTACAGAATACTTCATCCCAATGCCTTTTCTGTAATACAAAGTGTATTTCATCCTGTATCAATAACGTGGAAGATTTCCAAATTTGAAAATCTATAATACTAGTGTTCGTTATACCTAGAATGCCTTCTTGTTCTAGCTTGTTACACGAATATACATTAACAGTGAAAGAAGAGTCAGTTGGAAGATGTAGTCTTGCAACTGTGAATCCTGTGTATGAGAACTTGCTTTAGAACCAATACAAAATCAGACTTAAATGATCCAAATGATGACTAAGCTACTTCTTTTTGTCTCTCTGGCTGCTTTACCAGTTTCCAGCCCACTGAAGCCCTCAAGAAGTCGCTGTGAAAGTGTGAAGGTTCTGAACTCTTGCCTCCTGTTTCACAATTTACTGAGATTGTGAAAATTTCTAGGCAATCCTGTCACTATGTTTGAACACTATGTAGTTCACTGAAGCAGAGAGCATATGCATTACTGTAACATTATGAATTCCATGATTAAGGGGAGTTACATGCCGTAACCAGGAAAGCAGGAATTAAACCTTTAGCATATATGGCTGTTTTAAATTTCTTACCGATTATAGCAACTCGATATTATTACATATTCCTTTAATTCTCTTTACATCAGAATCTTATGCAAACTCTATACTGACAACTGAAATAGATTGCTAACGACTGTTTTATCTGATTGGTGTGATAACATAAAGCAAAAGTCTATTGCAAGGAACTCTAAAAGTAGGATCATCAGAAATAATCATTCAGCACACTTCTAAACTACTGATATTTATACAAGAGTACTACTACTTATGACGAACTATGAGAAAATAAGGGCAATGAGGGACATTACACGGCCCTGCTGCTCCAAATGAGAAGCCAGATCCATCATTACGCTAAACTCAACTCTAATGGGACCGGCACTGGGAAAGGAATAGGAAGAGAGGAGAAAGTATATATTAAAGAACTTTTCTTTTAGTCTGTAATATGAAATGCTCATCATTAAATGACAATTTGAATATTGCTGAATTTTCCAGACTTGTAATGCTTGGTTGTGGATAACTTAAAAATACCGAAGATACATTTCTTCCCGGTAAATTAATAATACACATTCTTACATTTAACTCTGCTTTAACTTTGTTTTCTTTCATATAAACAACGCCACCGGTCATGGTTAACTAATTCAGGAGTCTATTCCACTTCAAAGTATACATTTGTGACTTTATTTGCCAGAGCACAGATCCCTGCTTAGTGATTAATCTCTACGTATTATATGGAAATACATGTATTGGAGATGCTCAGTCAAGTGTATCATCCCTTTGCCTCTAATTTTCACCTCTTCTGCTCCTCAGATGTTAGAGAAGCTTAAAGTAGATGAAAGATTTGTTACCATCAGGTTCATCAATACGTTTTCCCCTCCTTAATTAAAGGTGAAAATTCTAGGACCTTTCTGCTGAACTTTTTTAAAAGCAGAAAACTTGCTTAATCTGCCTCGGACGTCCGTGAGCGGACCTCAGCGGCCGACTTTCGGGGATTTACTCGAAATGACCGACTTCGGCGCAACTTATCGTGGAACGAGGCAATGACAACTACCTGCGAGGCCCGGCACCGCCCGGGGGGGCTGCCGGCGGCGGGGGGCCCGGCTGCCGCCTTCCCCCCCCGCCACCCGGCCCCCGGGCCCTCCCGGAGAGGGCGGCGGCTCCCCCAGGG